GGCGGTCGCTTTCCTCACTCTCCTCACAGCAACCTCCATTGTAGTTCAGAGTCGGGTTGGCTGGAAACTTGTGACCAGCTTTAGCCGACCTTACAACAGGAACACAAACAGTTACAGAAGCATCTCTTTAACGTTGGTTATATCGTATGACCTAGGTATAACCCGTGTTTATCCGCTGTATTCCGGCGTCATCTTATTTCCAAACCCTGACCGGTTTGTTGCGCAACTCTCGTTTGTAACACCTCTGCTCACGATGTGACCACCTCGCTGACAACAGCTAGCGGCCTAAATCGCCCATTTAGTCACTGGCCCATAAGCCTTATACAACCTGGGATGCCAGTTTGAGACCTTTTCTGTCACTCCTGCTAATGATTCGGCCCATATTTAGCACTAAGGGACCTGACTACTTGCGGGTTGCCGAGTAACCGAGTTGACGATCAGCGCCGCTAGTGGCAGGTGTGCGCATAGCCGGTGTCTCATGGACAGTTATTCAGTAGTATTATATCATAAGCATTGTGAGTGTGTGAATAGTTTAACACAGTTGAAAAAAAACATTGCATTTGTGGGTCACATTGCACATTTATGATAAAATATTGTCGGCATTGTGGAATGACAATGCATATAACACAGGGCTCCATCTGGGTGCTTTAAAGTTTGAGCCAAGACTTTGAGTCACTAAAGTTAATTTTTATCCACGAATGAAAAACGATAGCCACTGTTAACTTATCTTATGTGATGGGTATGGGAAAAGAGGTGTACGAAAACTTTTTTAATAGAGTAATCATTAAATGCTGTAGTTTAGTATGTATACACAAAACTAGGTTGTTGCACTATCGCATGGTACTTGAACCAAAGGACTAGGTTACGGAATTTCTTAGTTCTTAATTACACGACACTACAATTTGACGATTTCATTATTAAATCGGAATTTTGTGAGCAGTTAAATCATTGACCTTTAATAATAGAGTATCTCTCTTCATCAGGATGAAGAGAGAGAGAGATATACGCTCAAAAGCATGCAGATTAAAATTTAACACTTTATTCTATTTTTCTAACGTTATTTTTATATCTACATGTGGGTACGTGTGTTTTTACTTATATATATATATACATATTATCTCTCTCTTTCTCTGGCTCTCTATATATATACAGATATTTATGTATACATTTTATTCACTTGTTTGATTGTTTCATCAAGACTATGAATTGTTTACGCAACTGTTTATCCGGTAGCATAACTTCCAGTACGTCACTGATGGTGTTGCCAGGTATTTGGTAACCATGACTTACATTTATCTTTTCTTGATAGGCTCTGCCAGCATGCATCTTCACGCAACATGCGTCTTGTACTTCAGCTGCCGGGGTGAGTTTTAACAGATTCCACGTAGCAGTTTGATCATTCATTGCAATCTCACAATATAAGCAGCAAGCAGCGACAAGGATGTAAAGAACTCTGGCCATCTGAGAATTTATTCAAGAGAAAAATGACAGACCTGTGCAATTCCATATATATATGCTCTTTTTTGCAAGAACAGGATAATATATATACAAGTTAATAAGTTATAAGTTATAAGTTATATGTATATTTTATACAATAATTTTACAGTGTTTTGTAAAGAGAAAAATCAAAGAGTAGATTCATCGTTTTTTTATATTATCATTCTATATGAGTTGTAATTAACCTGATGTTGGCTCATTATATCTATATAGGAAGGGATAAAGGTGGAAAAAATCCGCAATGTCGGCATTTCAGCACACATTGATTCAGGGAAAACAACACTGACAGAGCGAATACTGTTCTACACAGGCAGGATAGCTGAGATGCATGAGGTAAGCACAGTATTGGGTTGAATCAACATAATATTGTAATGTTTTATAATATTACCATATAAATATTTATACATATATATATATATACGTACATACGGTTTAGCTATATCTAATACATATTTGTGGAAGTTTCTCGGTTTGTCTGTTCTCGATTCAAATCAATATGGGCCACTCTAGATACGTCCAAGGGTGGCCATTAGATGTAACTTTGGCCACATTGCTACATGGGCACATTGGATTTGACCTCCGAAGTCATCTGACATCGCAAAAGGAAAAAAAATATGCAAAAGTCCTGCCCCTGCAGCATACTTGCACCCCTGCAGCAGTGGTGAATGAACCGGCCGCGAATTTGCGATTCCCAAACCGTATAGTAGAATGAGCTAGCATAGCTAGAAATAGCTAGTATAGCTATGGAAGAAAAATTGAGCAACGTGATTGGCTAAAAAAATTTAGGACACGCATTATTAGTCAACTTGCTAATATATTAAATTATAAGCTAATATTTGAAAGAAATATATTTAATTCGGAACATAAACAAAAGTTACAGAACAAATAAATGCAGAAACAAATAAAATACAAAGAAATACAGAAAGCAGAGGAAAATAAAAACACCATATGGCGTTCGAACGCGGTCCCTTACGATCACGAAGCGAAAGCTCTACCATTGAGCCACTGAGACCGACATTAAAGGGAGAGTTTACTCCAGGTTCTAGGGTTATTTTCAGCTAATTTAGGTTATAATTACGCTACATAAAAAGTTTCATGGTTCAATCCCCATTAGAAATATTATTTAAAAATGTTTTAAAACTAACGACTACAGTTTGATTACAACCACGGTGGCGCCACTCAAAGCGCACGATCTGATAAGTTGCGCAAAACCACTCCAACCAAGGGCTACAGACCGAGAGTGTTTCTTATTTATTCATTTAAAAGCAAAGGATTGTAATATCTTATAAACGACATATAGTTTCAGTTATAATATGGATAAATTTGCCCTAAAATGAATATCGTTCGGGTAAATAGCATTTAGGTATAAATATAATTGTACTTTTGTGATTAGCCCTCAGTCTGTAACCTGCAAAATAAATTGTCAAATACGCAACTTTTTCGGGGTGGCAGCACAGTTGCGGGTGTCATGGCGCCGTTCAAATTTCGTAGCGTTGATGTGTAAATAATTATAACAATTAAATTAGGTATCTGGTAACAAATACGTGTGGGTATAGACGATTTGTTATACAGTAAGTACAGTTGTACGCAGTAAAATCCTAGAGGCTACTGTCCCTTTAAAGTTTTAGATATAGAAATCAGTTAACCCTAACCCTAACCCTAACCCTAATCCTAACCCTAAAGGCCCGTCTCCACACACGCGGCACGACACGACACAGCGAAACGCAGCGCCGTTGTGCTG